TTAGCGTTTTGCTCACTTCCACAACTTTGCTCGCCCGTGTGTTCTGCGATCCTGAGTTATGCACCTACCGAAGCTCGGCTTACTACACCTCTCCTAGCCATAGCTTCTACAGCAGCGATACCGATAGAAGAAGCTGTGCAACCAGAAGTACCGCTGAAAGCATTGAGGCTGCTCACTTACTTGATAAAGGTTGGTTTGATAGACCGTTCTAGAACATAGACTCATCAAGTCTGTAAATGCTACGCCCAGCAAGTTACCGTTTTTTTTTGGGAGGGTGTAAGCGGTTCCTCGATGCACATAATGCTCGAGCCATTGGTTGATATCACAAAGTATAATCATTCATTGCGTTGATTCCTCCGCCTCGAGGTCACGGTGCAACACTGGTATCCTCCCCCTTCCTCTCTCCCTCGTGACTATCTTTTAAGAATATTTGATACAAAGGTTTATCAAAGTTACCAAATATCAAAGAGTATAAATGCTGATATGAGCCTTTTTCTAGTCTTACACCCTCCTTCGGAGGCAGCCGCTCAGTTCACCTCGTACTCATTTTTCAGGAAAAGTTCGAAAGTGGAGAGTCATTACACGATTTGATAGCGGGTGAGCAGCTTCTGGTTCTGGTCGATGCTGCAGTCAAGACCTCAGTGGAAACATCGAAGCCAGAGGTTCTATATCAATGCCGACGTATCACAGAAGGACTTCGACTTGCTGAAGGTATGGGCTGAACTTACGTCAGTCTCAACCAAAGAGGCTTCAAAATTCTAATGATTATTTGTAGTGTGCAGTACTGAAGAAGAGCTACGCAATGGACTTCTGAATGTGACGACAGCTGCGCTTTGCGCGCATATTTCCGAATCACAACTCATCACTAATCCTGTAGTAGTTTTTATGGAAAAGCCGCCTTCACAACGGACGGAAAGATTACCCGAGTGGAGGTCAGAATTTATCTAAGTTTTTTGGACTCGAAGTTATCGCAAATGTGTCAGTATACACGGCGTCGCAGTTGTAATGGAGCTGCTGCGGTTACTAGCTGCTCTCAAAGACTTCTCAAAGCTTCATAAAGACCAATACTGGAGATCTCTGAAGGTTTGACTTTGAAGTACTATATTTCAGTTGTAGTGTGAAATTTTGAGATTCTAGGATCCACGCCTTGTGGCCTTCCTTGCTTATGCTGTTTGTTATGGTGATCATGAAATGGTGCATAATGCTTTGGTGCTATATACTCACTGCTCTCAACTTCATGCTTTTCCCAGTAAATGGTTTGTTGATGAAATTACCGAATGAAAATTGCTTGAGTTATCCGATATTTTCTGTAGTGATCTCATTTTAGGCTGGGTGATCTCATCGCTTCTTGTTCTCAAGCAAAGCAGTCCCTACATGATAGTAGAGTCACATCACCTAACACCTCAAGCGAGATGAGGTGATTAGAGTTTACACAAATTTTTTCTACTGATTTATGTATAAG